GCTACTCAGGAGGCCAGCCCAGGCAGGAAAGTCTGTGAAACTCTTATCTCCAATAAACCACCAGAAGACCAGAAATGGTGCTGTAGCTCAAGTGGTAGAGCTCTAGCCTTGAGCTGAAGAGCTGAGGGATAGTGCTCAGGCCCAGAGTTCAAGCCCCATGACTGACCAAAAAAAAAAAAAGCTAGCCCAAGCAAGCAAGACAGTCTGTGAGACTCTCTCTCTCTTTCTCTCTCTTTTTTTTTGTCCATTGTGGGGCTTGAACTCTGGACCTGGGCGCTGTCCCTCAACTCTTCAGCTCAAGGCTAATGCTCTACCACTTGAGCCACAGCGCCACTTCCGGCGTTTTCTGTTTATGCAGTGCTGAGGAATCGAACCCAGGGCCTCATGCATGCAAGGCAAGCGCTCTACCACTGAGCCACCTTCCTAGCCCAAGTCTGTGAGACTCAACCCCAATGAACCACCAGAAAACCACAAGTGGTGCTGTGGCTCAAAGTGGTAGAGCGTTAGCCTTGAGCAAAAAGAGAGCCCAGGGACAGTGCCCAGGCCTGAGTTCAAACTCCACTACTGACCAAAAAAACAAAAAACAAAAACTAATAAACTTGGTCCAACTGAGCCAAGTGCTGTGACTCCCACTTATAATCCCAGCTACTCAGGAGGCTGAGATCTGAAGACTGAGTTTTGAGAGAAGCCTGGGCAGGAAGTCTAGGAGATTCTTATCTTCAGTTAACTAACAAAAAGATGGAAGTGGAGCTGTGGTTCAAGTAGTAGAGTGCCAACCTTGAGCAAAAGAGGTAAATGACAGCACCCAGACCCTGACTTCAAATCCCAGTACTGCCACATTTTTTTTTTTCTCTGAAGTCATGCATCACATAGCAATATCTATCTCTTGGTAAATCTTGGTAAGCCTCAACCTGAACATACTCTGTTAAGAGTATAATCTGGCCATGCTTTGGATGGAACACATTTCCTGTGGTATGTAACTCAAACATATCTCTTCCTGAATTGGTGCTTAAAAATATGTATGAGTTTTAAATGACAGGGCAGCTGTAAAAGCAAACCATATTTGCATTTTGGAAGCTAACTGAGAAAACAAGTTTATGTTACTGCTTGCTTGTTTCTTCCTTTATTTTTGCAGTATTAGGATTTGAATTCAGAACCTGATTCTTGGTGTTCTACCACCTGAGTCACACAGCCAGTATCTTTTTTTTGTGTTGGTTTTGGGGCTTAAACTCAGGTCCTGGAATGCTGTCCCTGAGCCTCGTTGTACTCCAGGCTAGTAATCTACCACTTGAGTTATGGTACCACTTCTGTTTTTTGTTTTGTTTTGTTTTGGTCAGTTGCGGGGCTTGCACCCTGGGCCTGGGCACTGTCCCTCAGCTCTTCAGCTCAAGGCAAGCGTTCTACCACTTGAACCACAGCACCACTTCCTGTTTTCTGGTGATTAATTGGAGATAAAAGTCTCACAGACTTTCCTGCCTGGGCTGGCTTGGAACCATGATCCTCAGATCTCAGCCTCTTGAGTAGCTAGGATTATAGGCATGCCACCAGCGCCCAGCTGTTTTTATTTTTTCTTGAGTGGTTAATTGGAGATGAGTTTCACGAGGACTTTTCTGCCCAGGCTGTTTTCGAACTACAATCCTCAACTCTCAGCCTTCTGAGAAGCTAGGATTACAGGCATGAGCCTCTGGTCTCTACTGTGTTTCTTTGGGTTTATTGTGCCTTGCACACACACACACACACACACACACACACACACACACACCAGACACACTTTTTTTGGTTTGTGCCTTTTGCAGTTTTCCCCTCACCCCCAGATTAGTTTTTCTGCTCCCTCCCTCATTTCTGGGTTTGATCTCAGGGCTTTATGCTTGCTAGGCAGGTGCTCTACTACTTGAGCCTCAAATCTTTTTGCTTTATTTTTCAGGTACCATGTAGAGTTTCTATCCTGAGGTAGCCTTGGTCCATGATTTCCCTACCTTTACCTCCTGTGCAGCTGGGATTACAGGAGTACCATACCAAGCTCAGTAGAGGACATAAAGTTCTCCAGAATGATCAAAGTGCTCATCACTGTGTGATGTGAAATCCCAGGGGCTCAGCAACAGGCAGGAAGTGATATTTAAGATGCAAGAGGACTTGAGAATGATCTAAGGCAGCAGGATGCGCCACTCAGCTGACAGGAAAAGGAAGAGGTCAATGAGAAGATGGAAGAATGACCAGGGTTCCCCCACCATACACCAAATATTTACAGAGCTCTGGACTTTCTAAGATATGATCTCTTTCTCTCTCCTATCTCTCCCCATCTCCCAAACACACTTTGTGAGATAACACATCCTGCAGGGAGAGGTAGAACACAGTTTCTATTTTTAATTTTAATTTTTGCTATTCCCAGGGGCTGGAACTCAGGGCCTGGGCACTGTCTCTGAGCTGTATGGCATGAGCCACTGGTTCCTGGTGGCCTTGCTCTTCTTGCTTGGACTTGAACTTCAATCCTCCTACCTCAGCCTCCCCAGCAGCTGGAATTACAAGTATGTACCACCATGCCTGGCTAGAGATTAAAATTTCTTGAATCCCCTGGCTTCTCTCCATCTCCTTCCTTAATCCTGTCTTGCATGCTCTAACAGCTTCCTAACTAGACTTCCCCAGTCATTCCTTTATTTTTTTAATTTTTATTTATTTTTTTATTGTGAAAATACTGTAGAGGGGTTACAATTACATGGGCAAGATAATGAGTACATTTCTTATCAAGCATTGTAGCCTCCTCCTTTGTTTCCCCTTCCCATCCTCCCTCCCCCCACCCACCAAATCCTCCCTGCCCCCTCCCCAGTCATTCTGATCCCTCTCCTGCCTGGGAACCATGACAGCCACAGTCACTAGATTTCAGATACATGGATGTCTGTGTGTTCCACCTATGGCTCACATCCCTTCCATGGCTTTCCTCTGCTCCTGGGCTCAGACCTAGATCTGTATTAGGACTCAGTTTGCCCCTCTGTCCTCCTTAGCCTCATCTGGCTCAGTTGACTTGGTCATGTGGTTGGGGGTTCTGGAATTTTTTTTGGTCAAGGCTAGCACTCTACCATTTGAGCCACAGTGCCACTTCTGGTTTGCTGGTGGTTAATTGGAGATAAGAGTCTGAACTACAATCCTCAGATCTCAGCCTCCTGAGTAGTTAGGATTACAGGTGTGAGCCACCAGTGCCAGGCAGTTCTGGAATTTGAACTCAGGATCTCAATATTATTAGGCAGGTGCTCTTTAATCATACCCTAGCCCTTGATTTGGTCACTGTTCCACACACAGTGGTCTTGTCTCCACACCTCCATGGCACCATGCTTCAGTCTTAGATGAATGAGGTCTCTGACCCTCCCTCCCGCCTCCCCCTTCAGTGCCACTCATCTCTTGAACTCAGCTCAAGTTCTCAGTTGTGCTGTCCTTTCCACCAATCAGATAGGTTCTCTAGCTACAGCTCCTTATAAAAGGTGTCCCTTCCTTCTCAAGCTCATATTTACCTGTTGGCATTCATATAGTCAATAACAGAATGCTTAGAACAATGCCTGTTTCTGCCAGAAGCAAGGAAGTTCCTGCCTTGGAGAAGCCATATCTCCCTTCTACACCCCAAGTCACCACACTGCCCACCTGACCATACCAGGTCAGGTTGTGATTACTCATTTATTAGTATGTGTCTTTGAGTGATGATGTCATTATCTCTGACTAGAACCAGCTTACTTTCTCACACTCAGTAATTATCAAATGATGGCTGGAGGCATGGCTCAAGTGGTAGGGCACGTGCCTAGTAAGTAAAGTTCAAGCTTAAACCTTAGTTAACCACAAAAGAAAACTATCAAATGAGCGGTATTTCATTATTTATTTAAATACTCATTTTTGGTCTCAGATAGCAATGTAGGATCAGAACACTGAATTCCATCCTCCTCCCCCCACATATGACTTTATATGCCTGGATAGGACACAGAAATCTTAAGGTGATTTTTTTTTTTTTGGTCGGTCGTGGGGCTTGAACTCTGGGCCTGGGCACTGTCCCTCAGCTCTTCAGCTCAAGGCGAGCGCTCTACCACTTGAGCCACAGCGCCACTTCCGGTTTTCTAGTGGTTTATTGGAGGTAAGAGTCTCACGGACTTTCCTGCCGGGGCTGGCTTTGAACCCTGATCCTCAGATCAGCCTCCTGAGTAGCTAGGATTACAGGCGTGCGCCACCAGTGCCCGGCTTAAGGTGATTTTTTTTTTTAAACAATGATGTCCAAATTTGCCAATCTGAGTTTTCAGCTATGAATTTTCTCCGGGGGGCGGGGAGAGGGGGGCTGGGAAGGTAGCTCAGTGGTAGAGCGCTTGCCTTGCATGCTTGAGGCCCTGGGTTCGATTCCTCAGCACCACATAAGCAAAAAAAAAAAAAAAAGGATTGGGGATGGGGCTCCAGTGGCTCACGCCTGTCATCCTAGTTACTCAGGAGGCTGAGATCTGAGGATCGCAGTTCAAAGCCAGCCTGAGCAGCAAAGTCCATGAAACCCTAATCTTCAACGAAGCACCAGAAAGAGTCAGGAGGGGAGCTGCGGCTCAGGTGGTCGAGCACTAGCCCTGAGCGAAGCAGCAGCTCAGGGACAGCGTCCAGGCTGAGTTCAAGCCTCAGGACACACACCAGAGAAAAAAAAAGGATCGGGATGGGCTGGACGCAGGTAGGGAGCCCGAGGACAGGGAGTCCTTGATTGTGGCTGTGGAGGGGGCCACGTTCTCGGGTGGCGGACGGGAGCGCGTCCCCTGCCCATTTGCTCCTGTCTGCAACGATCCGGGAAGACAGCTTCCCGCGAGCCGCGGAATCCTCCAGGACCGTCGGTCGCCGTCCCGTTCCGCGGCTCCAGCGCGCCGGCTCCGCTCCGCTCCGGCCGCAATCCGGTCCGGGTTTCCGCGCGCGCCCCGCGCCGCCCCGCCCCGCGCCGCCTCGCCACCGCCGCCGCCGCCGCCGCCGCCGCCGGAGCCGCTCGGAGCTGCGCGAACATGGCCGAAGTCGGCGAGGACAGCGGCGCCCGCGCCCTGCTGGCGCTGCGCTCGGCGCCCTGCAGCCCCGTGCTGTGCGCCGCGGCCGCCGCCGCCGCCTTCCCCGCCGCCGCGCCGCCGCCGCCGCCGCCGCCCGGGCCCGCCGCGTCCCCGCCGCCGCCGCCGCCGCCCGCCCAGCCCCCGCCCGGGCCTCCGCCGCCCGCGCTGCCGCCGCTGCCGCCCGGCGCGGCCCCGGCCCCGGCCCCCGACCCGGCCCCGGCCCCGGGCGCGGGCGCGGCGCCGGCGCTGGTGGCCGCGGCGGCCGCTTCGGTGCGGCAGAGCCCGGGGCCGGCGCTAGCGCGCCTCGAGGGCCGCGAGTTCGAGTTCCTCATGCGGCAGCCCAGCGTCACCATCGGCCGCAACTCGTCGCAGGGCTCGGTGGACCTGAACATGGGGCTGTCGAGCTTCATCTCGCGGCGCCACCTGCAGCTCAGCTTCCAGGAGCCGCACTTCTACCTGCGCTGCCTCGGCAAGAACGGCGTCTTCGTGGACGGGGCCTTCCAGCGGCGCGGCGCGCCCGCCCTGCAGCTGCCCCAGCAGTGAGTGTCCCGGGCCCCGCGGCCCGGCCCCGGCGTCACCCCGGCCCCGCGGCCTGAGTCCCGGGGTCACCCCCGTTCCGGCGGCCGGACCGTCCCGGCCCCGCGGCCTGAACCCTGGGGTCACCTCTTCCGGATCCCTCCAATCTGAACTCTCAGGGTTACTTGTGACCCCCCCCCCCCTCTAGCCTGAAACCCCTGGAGTCATTCCTTCTGTAACTTCACTGAGCCTGACCCCTCCCGCCAGTCACCTCCAGTCTCTCCCAACCTAAACCTTAGGGTCCTTCTCATGCCCTAAGCTCCTCATTCTGGACCCCCCCCACCCCCCAGAGTCATTCCTGTGTGACGCCTGATGATCCTCACCCCCTCTTACCCACATACCTGCTGCTGCCGGCTTGAACCAAGAGAGACGCTCCTCAGTCTGACCTCCGCCAGCCCCAGGGCATACCCCTGGCCCCACAGGTTTGGCCCTGGTGGTCGTTCCTCGTAGCCTGGATCGGTGGGCCACGCCACCCCTGCCGCCCAATCTAGGGGATGCTCTGGTGGGAAATCAGGCTTCATTCACTGTAGTCCAGCCTCAAGGGCATGTCTTGAAGGCATAGACTCAGCAGGGAGGGGCAGGGACAGGAAGTACCCTGCCTTAGTTTCCCCCCAGGAGGCCTGCAGGGGGCATTACCCCCTGGGTATAGACCTGAGTCCAAGGAGTCTCCAGCATTTCTACCCCGGCCCTTCCCTGTCCTCCCTGGCCCACACTCCCGTTTCTCTGTCCTCCTTACCAACCCCAGAGATCCCAACCTCAGGGTTTGTAGGCCTGGAGAAAGCCTATTTAATTACTCACTTCCTCTGTGGCACTTTCTTTTTCTACTCAGTAATTGCTGGTAACCCTTACTAGTGTTTGTGTTCCTCAAGTGCCTTCACGTTTAAGAGTGACTGACTGTCTCATTACCTGCTTTTATGAGGACCTGGAGTCCAGGGAGTTTCTGCTCCCAGGCCTCAAGCTCCTTTCTGTAAATGTCCCCGGTTCCTAAGGTCTGGGTAGGGTTGTGTGTGCACCTCTTTGAATAAAATTCAACCCCAACAGTGACTCATCCTATTAGGGCGTGAGAAGGAAGGTGTACTCCTGTTTTGCCAAACCTGAAAAGCGGGCACTTGTAAAGTCAGGACCCAGAGGAACAGTTGTCTGCCCAAGTGGTTTTCTTTCTTCCATAAGCTCTGCAGTATCTCCCACACTTCCTTTCCTTCTGTATTAGATGAATTCCTGGGTCTATGTCTTCCAGGAAAAAAAATGGCAGGTGAACACTCACTCTGCCTCTCCTGGATGCCCAGAGCCTGCCTGCACCATCATGTAACAAACATTTTGTATGCACCCCCATTGTACACTTATGTTCATGGGGTTCCTGCCTCTCACCCCTCAGCTTACTGGATCTTGAATGAAGCTTGCTTTTTCTCTGAAGGTTTTTCCTTCAGGGTGCTCAGCATCTGAATAGGGCAACGCCCAGCCCAGCATGGTAGGTAGGAAAAGTTACTGGTGTACACAGCTCTCCAGTGTTGGTGTGGTTGGTGGAGCATTTTAGAACAGTGGCTTAGCTGGCAAAGAGGCTTTTGCTAGCCCCCGAGTTGGTGCTTTTGATATGTGCAGACTGCATTGCCTTCCGTCGCTGTCTAAAAGGGGCTGTGCTTTGGAGCACCAGCCCTATCACCAGAGATGTCACCTGTAGAGAACAGAAGCATTGTGCCTAAGGAAACCAGTGGGAGGTGTGGTAACTGCCCTTCTAGGGACAAAAAGGAGCCTTCTAGAAGTTTTGCTTTCTTTGTTTTGGGAAGCTAACCTATGCATTTATTTGTACAGAACCCAATGTTGTCAACTTCTCTTTTAGCCTGTGTCATTGAAAACAAAACATTGAATGCAGAGCCAGGAAGGTAGATGAGTACACGTTTGTCACCCTGAAATGAGAAATTTCATTATTGACTTTATAAATAATGGCAGTATTGTGTGTTTGTTCCCAGGCTTCAGTATCATTTGTTGTTGTTTTGTTTTGTTTGTCTGTTTCATTTTGAGACAAAATCTTACTACTTAGGCTAAGCTGGCATCAAATTTGCTATGTAGTCCAGATTATTCCTTGAACTCATTATCTGCCTACCTTAGCCTCTTCAGTATTGGGATTATAAGTGTGTATCACTAAGCCCGGCTGACACCCAGTTGTAATGTTTGGAGTTTCAGATTCCTTCACTGTAAGCTGCCAGCTCTCATGTTGTGTAGGGATTTTGTTGACTTGACTGTGTTTGGATTTAGTCAGCTGCAGGTCTGGTTTTGCTCACATGGATTCCCAAAGCAGTCTTGTCCACAGCCACCTTCCCTGTCCTAAGGAGAGGTGATAGCCACGTGGGTGACATTTGTACATATCATTCTCCTGGGTGGATTCCATTCCATCTCCCTCCATCACTATCATCCTATATATTCAACTCAATTTATTTATTTATTTATTTTGGTGGTACTGGGATTAAAATCCAGGGCCTTGAGCTTGCCAGGTAAGTGCCCTAGCACTTGAGTCATGCATGCAGTCCTTTTGGCTTTTGTTAGTTTTTCAGTAGGGTCCCTTGTTTATGTTCAGGCTGCCTTGGGCTACAATCTTTTGTGTGTGTGGTGGGGGGGGGTCACAGGGCTTGAGCTCTGGGCCTGGGCACTGTCCCTCAGCTCTTCAGCTCAAGGCTAGTGCTCTACCACTTGAGCCACAGTGCCACTTCTGGTTTTCTATCTATTGGAGATAAGAGTCTCATAGACTTTCTGCGGGGGCTGGCTTTGAACCGTGATCCTCAGATCTCAGCCTCCCGAGTAACTAGGATTACAGGTGTGAGCCACCAGCATCCAGCTTGGGCTACCATCTTCTTATTTGTGCTTTTTATGTAACTGGGATGATAGGCTCAGACCACCACACCCAGGTTTTTATTTATTTTATTTGTTTTTTTTCTGTCAGTCGTGAGGGCTGAACTTTGGGCCTGGGCACTGTTCCTCAGCTCTTCAACTCAAGGCAAGCTGTTCTACCACTTGAGCCACAGTGCCACTTCCGGCTTTTTTCTGCCTATGTGGTGTTGAGGAATGGAACCCAAGGCCTCATGCATGCAAGGCAAGCGCTCTACCACTGAGCCACCTTCCCAGCCCCCACACCCAGGTTTTTATTGGTTAAAATTGGATCTCCTGAACTTTTTGCCCAGGCTGGCCTTGGATCTCAGTCCTTGTAATCACTGCCTTCTGACCTGCTAGGATCACTGGCTGCTAGAAATACCAGGTGGCACGGGCCACCTTGTTCAGCACAGATCTTCAGTATTTTTTATGACTCTTGAATCAGTTTGGAGCTGAATTTGTTTTGTCAGGTGTGGGGCCTGAGCTCAGGATCTAGGTACTGTTCCTGAGCTCTTTTACTCAAGGCTAGTGCTCTATCACTTTGAGCCTCAGTGCCACTTCTGCTTTTCTGGCAGTTCATTGGAGTTAAGAGTCTTACAGACTTTCCTGCTCAGGCTGGCTTTGAACCACAATCCTCAGACCTTAGCCTCCTGAGTAGCTAGGATTACAGGTGAGATCTACTAGCACCTAGTGGAGCTGATCTTAAACTGCTATGTATAACCCAGTGGAGCACAGTCGCATGGACCTGAATGTGCTTGGTCTTTTCTCATCTCAGAAGCTAAGCAGGGTTGAGCCTGGTTAGTACTTGCATGGGAGAATCACCAAGAACTGCCAGGTGGCTGGAGGGAGTGTGCTCAGGTGAACCTGGCACACTCTAGTACACCAGTGGAAGCATTTCTTGTGGACTTTAAGCACTTGACAGGGGCAGACTCTGCCAGGCTGGCGGGAGGTAACCATGACTGTGTTTTCTTTGTTGAATGAACAGATTGACACCTAATTTCACACATGTGCTTCTGTAGGGGAAACCCAGGTTTGTACGGTGGCTGCCTTTGGTCATTGTGCATGTGTGTTATGTATATAGGTCTTTGAGCCATTTAATTCAGAAGATGAATGAAATATGATTTGCCAATTTAAAAAGACTTTCTTGGCTCCTTCTTTGTCCTTCCTCCTTTTCTTATCTTTTTGTTGTTGTTGTTGTTGTTGTTGAGATATTAAGGATTTGAACCCAGGGTCCCACACGTGCTGAACAAGCATCCTACAGCCTGAGCCATGCGCCCTTGCCCCATCCATCTCTTTCTGCAGCCTGTCCCAGGTCCCTTGTAGGAAGAAGCCTGGGTTCCTCCAGAGATGAAACCAACTTTCCTGACCATAGCTTTAGGGACTAGGAGTAACCAAGTCTTTTCTACTTCTAGTCTGTTTTCAATGAGCATAGATATATGTATTTTTTTTTGGTCATCAGTCGTGGGGCCTGAACTCTGGGCCTGGGCGCTGTCCCTCAGCTCTTCAGCTCAAGGCTAGCGCTCTACCACTTGAGCCACAGCCCCATTTCCGGCTTTTCTTTTCTGCTTATGTGGTGCTGAGGAATCGAACCCAGGGCCTCATGCATGCAAGGCAAGCGCTCTACCACTGAGCCACCTTCCCAGCCCCGATGATATATGTATTTTTTTAATACCAGTCCTGGGGTTTGAACTCATGGCCTGGCCACTGTCCCTGAGTTTCTTTTGCTCAAAGGTAGCACTCTACCATTTGAACCACAGCACTACTTCTGCCTTTTTTTGTGTATGTAGTACTGAGGAATCAAACCCAGGGCTTCATGAATACTAGGCAAGCACTCTAGGACACATTCCCAGCCCCAGATAATTAAAAAAAACAAAAACAAAACACTTCACTACAAAAAGTTTCAAAACATAAACAGTAACACAATCCCATTTTCAAAAAAAAAAAAAAAATCCCATGTTCCCATTGCCCAGAGACATAGTTGCTGTCTGAGCTGTTTGATGATCAGCTAGACTTGTTCCAAATCTGTTCTAGCCCCAACTACAAAAAGTAAAGTGAATCCTGGGTGTCATATCAGGCTCAGAAAGATAAGGGTCCTTAAAGA